ATTTGGTCAATAGACCACTAAATATAATGCATATTAAATATTTCAATAAATTATTATTTTTAACTAATGTTTGGTTGGAGTGAAAAAGCTAGTGTCCGAGTGGATCGAACTCACGATAGCTCAAGTAGAGCAACGCCATTTTAGCCAAAAGTAACTTTTTAATTTTAACCAAGACCTTAGGTAAAAAGAATAATTAATTGAAATATATAAATAGCATTCATAATGGAATATAATGAACTGAGGGAAATCGAATTTACATAATATAAAGCATTTTATTCAGCCTGCACTTCTTTTTCATTAGCTTCCCGTACCACCCAGAAAAACAAAAACTAGTCTTTACCTTAAAGAAATAAAGCATTTCTAGGCCGTAAATATTTTACGCCGGGCGTAAAATAACTTTCAGATCGGGAGGAATTTAATAACCGGTATAAAGGTTATATGCCAAGGGGTATTTTATACTCAGCACATCACACAATTCGCATCGATTTTATTTACAACTGTACCCAAAGGGTGAATTTGCACATTTGTTTAATCTTCGGACTATTTAATTATTAAAAATTCAATGGAATTGTACGATCTATTTTAGAACTTGATTGAGTGAAACGTTGTCAAATTGGAATTTCCAATCAAAAATTACCTTGGGTAACTAAATCAAAATCTCATGACAATAGGCAGACTGAAGAACGGTGAGACGACGAGGTAATAATTCTCAACAATTTCCTCTCAGGGGATAACAATAACTTTCATTAGGGGATGTTTGCAAATTGCTTCGCAAAGAATGATACAGCTGCGGCAGAGTATAGCTTTGTTTAGCTGTGAGAGGGGAAAGGGTTATTTCATTCATTCTCGCAAACAATTTGGCCCGAGATTAATAAGAAAATTCTAAAAGGGAACAACCGGTGCGATGTTCGCTTCCTCCCCCCTGAGAAAATTTAAGAAAGGCACTTAGAAAGAAGAAGATAAATGAAGAAGCATTAGGCTGGAAATCGGCCAATCTTTTAACGCTATGATGGTCAGAAACTTCACTTTTCAAATAAAAAACGGGATTTTTTAACAGCATAACGGAAATACAAAATAAATTTTGGCTTTCGAAAAGCAAGGAAACACTTTTTTCAATTTCATACTTATATCTTGGCAAACTTGGCAAAGTATAACATTTGTATATATATATATATATTCATTCTCATATCATATTTAGTGAATCCACGATGATAATAATGAATTTTGGTATATGTATATATATATATATAAAAATAAAACGTAGACCAGTGCCACAACAACGAGGTTTCTATTAACATTTTTGTGATTTTAGTCTAAAACCAGAAGTTTTTAAACATAAAATAGTTATTTCTCAATATTGGATAGAATAGAGGAAATTAGTAGGAACTCCATAAGAAATTCTTATACCAACAGCAATTACGAACACCAAAATATGAAAAATAAGGCAGAAAAACAAAGCAGAGCTGATCACATAAAATCTAGAAAAAAGCACTTAAAGAATATTTATTTCTCACACAATTCCGAACAATTTTAAATTATAATTTGTTCATTACTGATCATTTTCGTTTGCTGATTCTCACTGATTCACTCTTTTAGACCTGTTTCTGGATTTTACGGTTTTTCGACATTTAGCGTTCAAGATCGTTGAAGATGGTAAAATCGTTCTGACAGATCATATTTTGTTTTGTTGAGCTTAACTTTTTCATTGATTTTCCAAATCCATTGACTCCGTTAAATAAATCAAGTAAATAAAAGTTTTCACTTATAAATGGTTTTAGAATATTAATCGTTTTTGTGATTAAATAATAATCATCACAATTTTGATATTTTTTTGCATTTGACAATTCATTTTACCGTTAGGCAAATAGCCCCAAGCGACTTGGAAAAAACATGGTTATTGTTTTACCACATAAAAACTCAAAATAAAAAGTGTACAACTTTTGACATTTTTCCATGAAAATATGTTATGTGCACATGTGTTGTAGTAACATGTTTTTTTTTAATTGACTATTTATGTCAAAATGTAAATCAATTGTGGTTGGCAATTAACTGCACATTAACATACAATTTATGCCTTTAGTGAAATAATTAGTATACATACCTACAGGCCCTCTGATGGTAACGGTTGTCCCTACTTTCTGGACATTTTCATGACATCTGGTACAGGGTTTTTCTTTCCCTCCATATAATATTTAAACCATCTGTACCCAGAACACTCCCCGACCTGGGAAGCCATTTTACAACTCCCTTCCTTAAACCTTCTAGACCTTCTTTAACCAACAATTCAGTAAACAGAAAACTATTTCAACATAACGTTAATATTATCTTTAACCTAATCATTTCAATAAAAAATTGTAACCAAGTAAAACGATTAGTCAATCGCCAGACAAGAGAAATCCAACACGTCGGCGATAGCCTCGCCACCTGCTACCGTTTCCCAATCCTCCTCCCAAAATAAAAGAGAGTTCTAGGTTTTTCTCCCAACGACCATGATCTGCGATATCTGTTCGATTAGGGACACGGACTATTTCCTCTATGCATATTTTTTTGGCAGACACAATAAATAAAAGAAACACGAGAAATTTAAGTTCCATTTTTCATTAAAGAAACTGAATTTTCTATACAAGCATCAAATCATTTTACTGTATTTCAGCGATTTTTACGCCATTTAGTCATGATTAATCAATTATTCCTTTTTGTTTATAAGCTGACCGCGATGGCCGAGTGGTTAGGACGTTCGATTTGTATTTGCCACGCTAGCGGTCTTGGATTCTAATCCTGGCACAGCACATGATTTTTTACAATGAGAATAGAATGAAAAAATTATTGTAAAATATTGTAATATTTATTGCACCCAACGGATAGTTGGACGTTAAATCTTTCTGTAAGACAGGGATTACTTTACAAGTGAATCGGTCATTGTTGCAAATACCTCAAATTGCGCCAAAAAATACCCCTTTTTTATACTCAAAACTGTCTGTTGTATCATAAGCCGAGACCTGGTCGATTTGTCAAAACAATACATGTTACGAATGTTTGGATTTTTTTGTACAAATTAATGAAGAAGGTTTCATTACGGAGAAATGTTTTGTAGGAAAGTGTACCGAAATGTGAAAATTCAAATATCAGTAGAAACCATTTTCCGGGTCGAGCTTGAATTTTTCCCATAGCCACCCTATTTAATCCCTGAAAACGTTACAAACAGATCGTTCTTGCAGAAGATACGGTTTAGATTGGAAAAATAGATTTTGTCGCAAAATGTACATAAAAGAAGAGATTGCACGCACATTGATGAAGGCGAAATAAACCTAAACACTTATTTATTCTTCTTTTCTTTCTTCTTGATTGTTCGCTTGTTTTAAAATCTTTTTAGGTGTTTTTTCAGGAGCTTACAACCATTTCAAAATATCCTTTTATATACATAATAACGATATAATAAGAGGGTATTTTGAAATGGTTGTAAATTACTGAAAAAAACACCTAAAAAGATCTTGAACACTTATTTGTACAAAAAAATTATTGATAGGTTCCGAAATTCCAAGATCACCATGGTTGAAAACATTTATTAAATTTAGTAAATTACTTGCGTTTCGGGCTCCTGTCCCATATTCAGAAATTAAATATAGAGAAATCTCATGGTGGAATTCTCAATTGCCTTCGGATTGAGAATTATACCATCAGACTTCTATATGTAAAGTTTCTGATGATGGGCCAGGAGCCCGAAACGCAAGTAATTTTCTGAATTGAATAAATGTATTCAACCACGGAGATCTTAGAATTTTTCAACCTATCAATAGAGAAGGTATGACCGTGGAGTTGGTAATATATAAAAAAATTATGTTAAGCAGTTCTGAAGCTCGGAATATCATGAAAATACATTTATTTTTGAAAAAATGTTTCTAAATATATAAACAATATATTTGGTGGGATCGAAAATGTGATCCAATGAATGTTACGCATTGAAACAATTCCATGCTTTTGGTGTTTTATTTCACCTTCTTAAACAACCAAAATAGATAGAAAGTGAAATAATTTATGCAAAATGTAGTGTTGTTTATTTGATTAATGTATAATATTATTTTATGGGATTAGAAAAATCAGAGTTTATAGCTTTAATTATTTATTTATTATAAAATTAAAATAAGAATTTTAATGCACAAGTCCCAAACGTCGGCAGATAAAGCGTACCTGATATTAAGCTACACTGGGTTCTCTTGGTTTACGTTAAATTTCCGACTTTGTCGGTAATTTTAATTAGCAAAAAAGTGCTATTTATATATTAAAAAACTATTATATTAAGAATTACAAAATAAGATTTGTCTGTAAGTTGTAAAAATAAGTTGATTGTTGAATCTCTCAAAGCTGAGTAACTAAAAAAAGTATATATTTATTGAATACAATAGAATATAAAAGTGTTTATTACTATTATATTCTAAAAGATCTTACATAAAAAGTTAAATATAAATATACAATACTTAAAACACAAATAGCATGTGCTTTAGCCCGCCAGCTGAGTTGGCTTAATATTTAATAAATTATCTCGTTTTACCAATTTAATCGTTTCGTTTGGGAACATATTTACATATAAATTGTTATTGAAAACATTGAATCAGACCTCCAACAAGGTATACCAAACAAGTACTGTCAACAATGGTGATAATAAAAATAGTGACCGTTAATCGATATTTATTTAGAAATCGTGAGATGCGGTCTGGTGTGATGTAGGTTTCAGAAAAACATTTTCTTTTTCGTGCCAACGTTTCGATCTTTATTGAGATCATCTTCAGGGCCTGGGATTTACAAACATTGTTTACATATAACATTACATTATGGATGTGGAAAAGTGAATTTATACAATGCAAAATATATTTTTTTATATATTCAATCAAAGTATTTCTACTCACTCTGTTGACACGCAAGAATGGCACAATTACAGAGAAGACAAACACTTTGAATGAGTGTTTAAAATAAATAAATNTATATATAAAGACAGCTTCTAATATAATATCATACTTTAAACATTTTGTAACCTGGTATAGGATCATTATTTGCATATAAGTTGGCAATAAATTGTAAAAATTTAAAACTCAATTTATAACACAGCATAATATCTAATATGCTATCATATTTTAAGAAACTTAGTAGTCCGATATGCAAACATTATGTATATATTAATTATTTCTATTAATAAAATTTTGAGCTTTTATATTTGTATAACCGTTTTACACCCTGAGGAAGGCATGATAAAACACCGAAAGGTTGACATAGTTTCAGTCCCCAAGATTCATTAGACCTCATCCCTGATCCCACCAAATATATTGTGAATAGTAACTGGTCAATCACCTTTACATCACTAAATATACATTAAAAATTGTAAATATCTTTTCTGATATTTCCTTCACGTTTTGAAATCTTTTACACAGCTGGTAAGAAATTTCAAAAATTCTTGACCTAGAAATTCAGCCTGTTGGCTAAAAGGCAGTCTATATTAGCTATGGGTAAATAAAATTAAAAATAAGGGTAAAAAACGGAAAAAAATCATGAACGGAGAGACTAATTCGACTCACTGCCCGGATTAAAAAATCCTAACTCCTCAGGGTAGATGATCAGAACCAAAAAAATCCGGAAGGGATTAACTTCACTTCCCCTTTTCCGAAGAATCTCCCATGTGTTATAAATATTTTAAAAGGTAAAATATATGCAGATACAGAATATAAATTTAATAAAAAAATATAAAATAAAGTTGGTTTATATTGACATTGTATGATGTGAATTTAATTATTTTTCGAGGAAACCGAGACAGCTTTGGTTTTTCTCGAATAACGGCTGATATATGACATAAATAAATGCATTATTAATGAACTGACCTAATTGAAAAGAGTAAACTGATAGCAAATATAACGGTATTTGTGAATGATTAATTTATCACGACAGACAATACAACGGCCGTTAAGGGCAAATGTTTCAAAGGTCCGCGCTTGTCACCTGATGAACACAGACGAGGCCCATTTTTTCCGCCTCTCACCCGAGTCGTTTCCTATTTCAAAACTGTGCAAATAATGACCGCCATAAATCAAATTAAATATGATTAAGGAAAGCAAAATTAAAAAAATATAACGGGGTTAATTTATACGTTCATAAACGTTGTTTTTATCATTGAATAAACTGCCGTTCGTGCCTATATTGAAATTATTTGATAAAAATTAGCTCCGTTTTTATTTTCTTGGTTTAGTAAGCTAGTGCTTGTAGTAGTTTTTTAGTTAAAAAATCAGAACAAAATTAAAATAACACAAATGTTTTGACTACACGATTTAAGTAAACTTAAATGCTATCACAAATGGCTTGGCTCAACGATTGTGAAATTTTCTGTAAGGTCCAGTTTTTAGTTGGAGAGCTGTAAAAAGGAAATAAGGTCTATTATATTATTTATTTTAACATAAACAATTAAACTTTGAGGTAGATGAGATTAGAAAATTGGTTTTTCATCCCAAATAAACAAACAGACCATTACTTAATTACATTATCATTACTAAATTTATAAACTCAAAGACGAAAGTAAAGACACTATTATGTTTTATTTTTCATAATAATTAGGACATAAAGATTAACAGTTGATGAAAATAAAAAAAAACATTAATAACTTGTTTAATTTTATAGTATTACTAATCCAATTACAATCATTAGATTAAAAATAAAAATAATTTTTGTTAAAACATGGTTTTACGTCGACAAGATCTCGCCCGGGCAGATGCAAGGCCAACGACGGACGTAGAGTCAGTTTCATAAACCAAGTTCAGGTCCACTGGAAGTCCCGATTGAAGAGAAGGTAGTGGTCGACCGCGATGTACGACGGGTAGAGAAGATAGTTTTGCTCTTACTTTACTACGGGACTGTCATTTAACGTCTTCCTTGGCAGGTAGACAACTCTAAAGGGTCCGTAATACAAGGATGAGCTGTAAAATATCAGAAACCTTCGTGAGAATAGCCTCGTCTCTAAACGTCTAAATAAGGTTTTCTACTGGAGAGGCATCTAGAAAGGCGACTATTCGCAAATTATCCTCTCGCTTGGACTCTTGAACAAACCTGGCTGTTGTGTAACTGTTGCCTTCACATATGGATGCCGGTTTGGTTTGGAATCAGATGACCGGGACCGTGGAAGAAGTCCTAGAGAAAGCTTTGCTCCATGTGCCAGGCTTGAATCACAGCCTTTTCAAAAACAATCAAAGTGGACTCAAAGTCCACGCCCGAACTGATTATGCTGAGGTGCATTGAGAATGTTCTTCTGGAAACTGTGGTCGATTCGTTTGTTAGAGACAACTCCATGTTATTGCATGATAAAGCTAGATTATCCCGATGAATTGGCCAGCATGTTCTACTGACATGAGTCTTATGATACGGGGTGGGCATCATTCGCCGCATCGAAACAGCGCTGAAAAGCGTCATACCGTTTTGGTTGAAAAATTCTGTTTCACAAGCCGAAATCCGATAGCTTTTTCATTCGAACACTTTCGAAGCCTTTCAAGGGCTTGACGAGGCCAGAGTAAGCTATACGCATTATTAAGGACGAAACTAGATAATAAATTGTTAAATGTTAACCTATCACTAAATGATTTCTGGTATTTTGGTGAATACAAACCCTAATAATTTTTTATTAAAACTTGTGAATTTCTTATCTCGTTTCATTTGGTTAACATTAAAATAAGTTCAATTAATTAAGGTTTTTAGTTGAGATAAAAAAAGTCAGTGTCACGAGCAGGATTCGAACCCCCGACCTTCGGTTTGATACGCCGCTACTCTACCACTCGAGCTATCGTGACGTCGATCCTCTCGGGTACTAACTTCCCATCTCAACCCCAACTTTTGAATTTTCCCTTTTTTTTTTGCCATTTTTCAAATGTCGTGTAATCTATTTGATTCTCAGCGACAAATGCAATGGCCACAGCGAGGTTTAGAGAAGTGTACTTCATTTTAATTCATTAAATTCACTATTTTTCGTGGTCCGCATGACGAATTAATATCATTCAATTAATTAAGGTTGTTAGTTGAGTTAGAGAGAGGATCGAAGTCACAACAGCTCAAGTGGTAGAGTATCGGTGTATCAAGCCGAAGAACGTGGGTTCGAATCCCGCTCGTGACACTGACTTTATTATCTCAACTGAAAATCTTAATTAATTGAATGATGAATGGACCACGAAAAATAGTGGAATTAAAATAAGTATTCTGTAATTAATTTAATGAAAAAATATAGTTTGAAATAAACAACACATCATAGGTGTCCGTTTTTTTGTCTTTGAGCGTATAATGATAGGAGATATATGGCTTTATGAAATAAGCTAAATTTCACGTCCATATCTTCTACACTCTGTATTAAAATTAAAACGAATGTTACGTATATCTTGTCCTCTTTGGACTACATTCGCTACACGCTAAATGGATATTTGATAGCCAGTTTGTACTTTCGACCATGTGCTGCAATTCGCTCTGATTACACGAAAGGTGATAAAAGAAAGCAATTTTGGAAAGTCCAATAAATATTTCAATGAAACAAACAGCAATTCTTTCAGGATTTTTTTTTGCGCGTCCACGTCATATTCAACAGCGAAACGCATTTGAGACATTTAAACCAGCGAAAATACTCTTTGCCCATTGCCGATCGTTTCAACATTGGTTCATCCACTCTCTAACCATCACCAAATATTTTAATAGTATAATGATGAAGGTAACATTTACGTTGATTTTTTAAGGTGCAAACTGCTTGAAGCTGGTCCGTCTCAGCGTACCACAGTACAAACTCCGCGGCGAACTGGCTATTCTCGAGTGCCAGTACGAGCTAGAAGGCGACACTCTTTACGCCCTTAAATGGTACAAAGAAAATGAAGAGTTTTACAAGTACGTGCCTAAATCGAACCCGCCGCAGGTGTCTTATAAAGTGGAAGGGATCAAAGTCGATGTAAGTTTTAAAATGGCCGGTGTACTGATGAAGGAACTCATGGTGGGTTTTGTTGCAGCACCAACTTTCCGACAGCCGTCAGGTGGCGCTTAGGGGCGTCAACCTCAAATCAACTGGAATGTATAAATGTGAGGTGTCGGCCGAAGCTCCTTCTTTTTCTTCGGCATCGAGAGAAGCAAAGATGGAAGTCCTCTGTAAGTACATTTCTATGTCTAACATTGTAATATATTAAATATAGTTTGACTTGAAAATGTTTTTTAAAATACGTTTTCAATAAGAAGCCAAAAACTTACAAGCAAATTTATTTCTACCGTTGGGGTGAAAAATAGGTTACTCGAAAACAGTAAAAATCAATTTAAGTAAATGGGAAAACACTTTAAAAAACTACTAGCTTAAGTATCAGAGAAGCATGTTTTTGGGCAATTTTATCTGCTACTAATTTTGGGAACGAACTTCAACCTTTAAACGAAATTTTCGGAATGTTTCAATTATTTGCTCTAGCTTAGTACATTTATTTGTAGGAATTCGGTGGGAGAAAATGATGATATTAATTACAATTTTAAATTAGGAAGTATAAATTAAAAACAAAAGACGTGCTACTCGACTATTCTCCTTGATTATTATTGCACTCATTTTCTTCCTCCTTTTTAAGGAACACTTTTCCTGTCACACTCGGCCAGTCCAAGTATTTCAATCACTGTCTCTTCTCTCTATCCCGCTTTCTTCCAACTCTCATTCTAAATCTTTATTTTTTCTAACCTCTCATGACGAAATTCGCTGTCCCTCCACATTCTCAATGACTTTCCGTTCTTATTTAACTCAATGTCAGGCATTTTTCATAAATTATGGCCTGTTTTATGGCTGGATATTCCATTAGTTATATGTTGACGGATTAATGTATGCAAAACCCAAACATGTAATACGCAGCAATGCTTTCAATACAATTACGAAATCGTTGAGATTAATAATAATAATAATGTTTATTAATAAAGCTGTTTACAGTATAAAAAACAAAATATCTCAGCGACAACATTTTTTTTTGCTTGGATGCTAATTCGTCAGCAGAGAAATCGTTGGGCTTATAAAATCAAATACATCAAATTTTCAAAATAAATTTTGACGAAAGTTTTTTTTACACTGAAAAATGTTTGAAAACGCTTGCTAAACATTTTATTGGATATATTTTTATGAACAGATAAATGAAATCATATATCATCTAGGATACCACCACAGTTTGATTAGATCAAAGTTACTCAGTAAATGATTCTGGCAAAATCAGTAATGAAAACAAAAATATTGACTAAAAGGTAGATAGATAGATAGATCGATAGGTAGATAAAGAGAGAATGAAAGAGAGGAAGAGAGAGAGGAAAGTGTACGTCTGTGAGAGAAAGAGAGCAAGAGAGGTAGAGAGACCGAAAAAACAGATACAAAGAGAGAGAGAAAGAGGGAGAAAGAGAGAGAGGGAGAGTGTGAGTGGGATCAAAACAGTAAGAGAAAGAGAGAGAGTGAGAGTGAGAGAGAGAGAGAGAGAGAGAGAGCGAAATAAAGAGAGACAAAATGAGAGAGTAAATGAAAGTGACAGAGAGAAAAAGAGAGAGAAAATAAAGTGTTTACGTTAATTAATCTTTATATAAGGTATTGGGTGAGAGAAAAAAGTCAGTGTCACGAGCGGGATTCGAACCCACGACCTGGTTGGCTAAATACGCCACTGCTCTACCAATTGAGCTATCGTGACTTCGACTTCGGACACTAACTTCCTCTCTCAACCCCACCTTTCGAATTTTCTCTCCTTTTTGCCATTTTTCAACATACAATTAATTAATTGACAGATGTTATTTGGTCAATCGGACCACGAAAACAAATAAATATGTTTAGACTTAATTCCCCATTCAGTCAATGTAGGAGTTAGAAGTATTATATTATATAACCCTAATCTTTCCTCTAAACTGTTATGTAGAAAGGTGTTATATTCATATCGATATCAAGTGTTATTGATAACATTTCTTATAAAATATATTTATATTGGAAAATATTTCGTTATTGTAGAAAAATTGTTTTGATTTACGGCGTTACGTGATGGTATGGATTACATTACAGAAAGCCCTGAAGGCATTGGCAGTGAAGTGTAACCTGCTTCCTGTTATTTTCATTGTTGCTGATGCTATGTAGGTCCGGAAGGTTTAACAAATTCTTTATAGCTGTCGTTTATTCTGTCGGTATATTTTAAAAAATATTACGAAAATAAATAAACACTACGTTTAATCTTACTCTTTGATCGTTTCACGCAAGGATGATTCGTGTACATGTCACTTGTAACACGTTTGTTAACTAAATTTGTATGCTTTTTTATCTAATTTTTTTTTCAAGTAGTCTTTTGATGTTATAAACTAATTAGCCTTTTTACTCTTTGCTTTCCACCAGCACATGATATTCGCGCTCTCAAAAATCCAATTTCCTATGCAATTTCACACAGTGATATTTGGATATTAATCACATACTTCAAAATGAAGCTTTGAAAAAAATAGATTTGATTTATTTAAGGATAAAAAAGTCAACTCGGGTTTCATTTATACTATAAAACATTTCATTTATATTGCTATACGTAAAAGGTTTTTAAAAAATTGTTTTATATTTTTTGCGATAAAGGATATTTATTAATTATAGAAATATACTTTTTTTAATTGGTACTTTCTAAATAAGACGTGCAATCGGATGTAATTGATTACATGGACTTGTAATAACTTTGACTGCTTTTCGAGAAATAACAATTGTTTACGGATAATTGAACTTATTGATAATAAAGGAGACACGTGTGTAAGACAGGGTTCTGGATGAACGGGTTTATCCAGTATTGTGTGTTGTGAATGTCACCTCTTTGTTGTCCTTCAACAAAGGTGGGGGAGATGAATGTCAACCCCTTCGGCTAATTCCCCCTTCGACCTGCCGCCCCCTGAGCCGGTATTCGACTTAAACTTCCGTCCGACTTTTCCGCCCCCGAGGACGAGGACGGGACCCTTGCGGTCGAGGGTTTGAAGAACTAATGCTATTAGACCGGTGCACAATGCCTTGGCAAGACCCCAACTTGCCCTTTATTGCAAAGCATCCCCTCTCATCTTATATATGCTGTGAAAACCAGAAATTAATCGTATGTCCCTTGTACAACGCCTGTTCGAACCAGGAATTCGCCTCTGCTCGTGAAGTTTTACAGTTGGTAAACTTTACAGAAGGATGCTCATACTCCAACAAATTCACTCTTTGAATTACTTTTTGTATTGCATATTTAATGTCTTACAAAAGTAAAGCCTCCTTAGAAAAAAAGTGTTCAATCTGTCTAATGCAATCAACACGTAAAAACTAAAGAGTTACAAGTGGTTAAAGAATTCTTCTTTCAATTTAAAACCTTTTGAATTTTAATATAATGAAATTAAAAATTGAACTTACAGAAGACCAGATCAAACATGATCTATCTGTATCAAAAAATACACTTATTATATACACACGTATCCTTTTATGATGGTCCGGCAAAATTTATCTTGAACCAATGATACTATCAAAAAATAAAAACATACTTGTTTAAATTTTTTTGTGTAGTTTTAAATGATTATTCGGAAATCGTGAGATGCGGTCTGGTGTGATATAGGTTTCAGAAAAACATTTTCTTTGTAGTGCCAACGTTTCGACCTTTATTGAGATCATCATCAGGGCCTGGGATTTACAAACATTGTTTAAATTTAACAAATACATGTAGGATATGGAAAAAAGTGAATTTATGCAATGCAAAAAAATATTTTTTATATTCAACCAAAGTGTTTGTTTTCTGCGTAATTGTGCCATTCTTGCATGTCATGTTGTGAGTGCCAGTGAGATATTGCTTTTTTATGTTTATATACGTCGGATTTTGAAGGGGTGGGAAGGAAGTCGGTATAGAAAGACGTTTTTGTATAGGGAGTCGGCTTCTTTGAGGTATAAATTCACTTTTTTCAACATCCTACATTTTTCTAAAATTTAAACAATGTTTGTAAATCCCAGGCCCTGAAGATGATCTCTATAAAGATCAAAACGTGGGCAAGATAAAGAAAATATTTTTCTGAAACCTACGTCACACCAGACCGCATCTCACGATTTCCCAATAATCATGGACTAACGGTTACTAATCACCACATACACACTAGTTTCAAATTTTTATCTTTTCTTGGAGAAAATTTATACACGGTGACTCAGGCTCAATTCAACTTTCAATACGACCCTACACATCATGAAACATCATTTCAATGGATTTTTTACTCTGAAAACAACGTTGCAATAGTATTTTAAATTGGTAAAAACATGAAAAAGTTATGATAAAACGTTTGAAAATACGCATTTTGTTTGTTTCGTTGTTAATTCTAATAATGTGCTTCTTCACTAGAGTAAACTAGAGTAGAGTAATTGCATTTTTATTTACATTTTGTCATTGACAAACTAGCATTATGAGAGCAAATCTTAATTCCTCGCATTAAATAAATTTTACAATAGCATCTATTCGTTACATCGGGTATTCCATTCAAAATGAACCGAAAATCACAGTTTTCCATCAACAGCGACTTGATAATTATGACTTCTTTATTGATAGGGGTAGTTTATTGATATTGCGCAATCGAGTTGTACTTACAGAAATTTCCTGATCGCCACAGAGTAAACCACAAAAAGTTTATTGGTGTAATAAAAAAAATCGGAATTAAAACTCGGGAGGTAACTTATAATGACCACTTAAAAAACATCAATTGAATTACACCAAGATTTGTATATAATCAAGCCACAATAAACTGCAACCCTTTCTAATAATATAGAAAAACTATTTTCAAATTTAGTTAATAACTCTTTCAGGTATTCAAAACCGAGTTTTGGACCCCATGCGTCTATTTTGAGGGTCATCGAGTTAATATTATCAGTAACTCGCTATTTATATATAGCAGAATATAACTATTATTTTGAAATTCTACTTACTTGAAGTTAAGATATTGAAAAAAAGAAAGTTCGATGTATGTGTAAACAAAGGGCTTGGAAAATTTTTACGTTTTATTTTATTTCTTATAGCTAAGGTATTATCGAATCCAATAAAAAAATATTCATAATGTTAATAAACAATAATTACATTAAGGTAAATTTTAACCAATTCCAAGACGTTTGAAAAAATTATTTTCACAAAATAGCGACACGACACAAGAGACACAACATATGTTGTGTGTAACCAGTCAGATGATTTTTTTTTAAAGAAAATAATTTTTTTTCCATTGTGTCATGAAACATACAAACAAATAGTACCAAGATATACGTGTTATATCGATATATAATTCTGGTGATTAAAATGTATACATACATATATTATAGATGGCTTTACGCTCGCATTTGGTACAGAAGCCAGCGCCGCCTCAACCTTTTATGGTGATTGGTCGGGAGGGTAAAAGCGAAAAGTCACTGAAAAGAAAGTTGGAATGAATTATAATTTATATTGAAATATGAAGTATCATATTTTTTATATATTTGATTAGGTCAGTAACATAACGGGAACTCTGGGGGGAGAGTGTATATCAAAAGAAAGATCATCTGTAATCTTTCGGTGGAGTATTGACTGGAGGGAGTGAATCCTGTTAAGCTAGAAGCTAGAATAATGTTTTCCAATTTTTTTTTTTTACGAGGGTTCGCAACAGCAGAGGTCATCTAAACCCTAAACCCTCAGGCTGCCGGTGTTTTTGAAAAAAAGTCCATTTGTAAGTATGTCCGGTTCGAATGCAGGGCCGCTGGATTCGACCCTGGACCTTTACCCGACCGTGATGAGCGCCGTGTCAACGCCTAAACCGTTGCGGCCCCCGACGCCCATTTTTTGTTGTTATTATTGTGAATTGTAGGTCTTTGACTGATGTCTCGTAATTTTTAGTCGTTTTGTACTTCCATTTCAATTATGCCATTTTAAGTCACATATGTAGACTTTATAACTATTATCTATATGCAGTCCTGTCTATTTAACGCAATTTTGCGCAGAAAATTGAATTTGAGAAATAAACGTTTGAGAGTATTTTGCGTTGAAGGGTAAAAAGATTTGTTTTTTATCGGTATTTAATCGATATTTACGGATCTATGGTTCTAAATTGAGGGATTGAACAGTTAGAACAGAATGAGGTTTGGTTGGAGGATTGTTGAATCGTCAGCAAAGGTACGGATGTGTTGGATTGTTGAAGGAGCTTCTTTTTGAAACAATAGAGATTGGATGGAAAAGATTGATGCTAGATCGATACCATGGAAAAAGAGATAAGATAAGTAGGATTTTGAGATGAGATATGTACTTGAGATGAAGGTTTGAAGGAACTGAATTGAGTTTCAGCAGTAAAACCTAGGCCAGACGCGATCGAACTCTTCATAGATGTTACGATGATGTCTACAACAAGATGAATTAGGTACACTTTGGAGTCTCAATTTTTAAAATGATTCAAAATGCTAATTATTTAAACAAAATTATATCAATAGGAAGTCGTTCTGCATTATTTATATTTAACTATTTATCTTAGGAGAATAAATGTATGAATTTTTGAATTTTACAGAGCAAGCTTTAGGTCTGCTTATTTTCGGAATTTTAATAACATTAATTCAAAAGTTGTTCAACTCGACGGCGTTCGTACGGAAAGATGAACTCACAATTAATGTGAAAAACCAACAAGCGAGATAAATAGAGGGGGCGCGTAGGGGAAAAAGTTTGCGCCGTTTGCTCCTGCAAAGTACACAACGAGGCCTTTTCCCCGGAATTCAGATGTACAGCAGGCCGGGAAAGCGAATTGTACGAGGACGGCGTTGTGGGAAAAGTTTTTCCTTTTTTTTCGAGGAGGCCGTGAGGCGCTATGCAGACGGCCACAATTATACGGGGGGTGGAGACGCCCTCCAAAATTTATGACAAGAGGCTTCAAGCCACCAGACCAACTTGTTGATAGCCGTAAACCGGAATTAAAAGTTCTTTCAACTTTTTATGTTTTATTTTCAGACCGGTGGGAAAAAATCGTTAATGTTATGCTTTCTCGAACAATTGATATCGCTACACGATTTAAAAAGTCTGTTTTTTACTAATAATGTAATTTTGACAGTTTTTATCTTATAGAATGTAAAAGTTCAATTTATACTTTTGATGAAAAGAGAGCCCAAGACCGAAATAAAATTCTAAAATATTGAGAGAGATTGACAAGAGTCTATCATCCAATTAATGTTCCATCTTTTTTGGTACTTTCAATTAATTATGATTTATAGTTGAGATAAAAAAATCAGTGTCACGAACGGGATTCGACCCCACGATCTTCGGCTGGATACGCCGCTGCTCCACCACTTGAGCTATTCGTGACCTCGATCTACTCGGACACTAACTTCCCATCTCAACCCCACCTTTTGAATTTTCCCTCTATTTTGCCATTTGTCAAATGTCGTGTAATCTATTTGATTCTCGGTTACAAATGAAATGGCCACGGAGATCTTTCGTGAAGATATACTTCATTTAAACTTATTAAATTCACTAGTTTTCGTGGTCCACTTGACCAATTAATTTCTTTTAATTAATTAAGGTTTTAGTTGGGATAAAAAAGTCAGTGTGACGAGCGGGATTCGAACCCACGATCTTCGGCTCTACCACTTGAGCTATCGTGACCTCGATCCACTCGGACACTAACTTCCTATCTCAACCCACCTTTTGAATTTTCCCTCCTCTTTGCCATTTTTTAAATGTCGTGGGCTCGATAGCTGTGCCATTGTATTGTGAATTTTATTCCATCTAGAAGAAGGAACCTTTGGCGGCCTTACTCGATTTGGAACAGGCTTTCAATCGAATGACATCGTGGTTTACACATGAATCCATATCCCAACCTTTATACACTTTTTATTTCCAAAATCCCATCTGCCTGTTAGGTACTTTAGAATTTTGGTTAAATCCTTGGTAATGTCGACGCAGGAGTTTACACGGTATCTTCCGGGGTCCGTTTTGTGGTAAGTACAAACTGTCGATATCTCTTCTCAAACATGGTGATGACACGGTCATATTTTTATAAAATCCCTATCCCACGTAAACTTTTCCACGCAACTCTACTTATTAGAGCACAGGTTTACAAAAATGCGCATAATAAACCCTTCTAAATCCAAAAGTGTTTTTATTTAAACCACTGGGATCAAGAATCGTTAAAGCTTTCCATGTAGAAAGTATAGAATAGACTATTGTAAAATATTTGTATCTCCTGGAGGATCCTTATCAAAACTAAAAATTGAAAAAGAAAATAGAAGAAAAATATTGGAATACTGATTCACCCCTGGGCTAAATCAAATTGTTCTATTAAGTTGAAATATTTTTATAATCGTTTTATGTGTTTATCATAATGTTTTACTATAAACATTGTCGCACTGTTGTTTTTGTGTTATTTTATTTTATTTTTTGTGTGTGAAGAGTGGAAGAATTAATTTATGTTGAATTTACGTATCTTTGCATATAGAATGATTTAGGTTCAATTAAATTTTGGCTATTTATTTTATTTAATTTTTCTTTTTCTTTTTTTTAAATTCATATGTTAACTAAAATAGGTTTAAATGAAAGACGAGTATTGCTCTTATCTTGAGCTCAATGTTTGTTTTTAGACGTCACCATTTAGTGACAAGAACATCAACTTACTGTTTCGGGGTTGGTGTTTACCCTTATTGAAATGCCAGAGATCGTACAATGCCCATACCCGCAAGGATGTTTTCCCTCTTGTCTGCAGAAGGCTCAAAATGAGAGAGTCTCTTACAAACTGACAATAAATTAATTAACTCGGATTATGTTGGAGTGGGAGGACTTGGATTGGTTGTCTTCCAAGCTACATTTCATTCCGGTATAGCGGAATTAATATGAGAGGTGTTCTCATTGTGGTCTATGTAAGAAGCTCTGAGCAAAAGAGCGATTAATTAACATCCGAGAGGGAAATTCAGTGCAAACAGATAAATCGCTATTTGTGTAAACTGAACAAAACGGAAAACCAAATTGTGTTTACTTGTTTGCAAGGTTTTACTAATTATATATTACAATATACATTATTTGACATTTATCCGATCTGCAAATGACTGAATCGACTCGCTATTTTTTGATTCGTTTAATTATTTTTTGCAGTTTAACATAAGTGGAAAAAAGTAAACAAATAAAGCGTTTCTCTAACAATAGGCAGACGTTTATTCCAAAAATACATAAAAACAACCTATTTGATATATTAACCGACGCGCTTTAAAAAGTTCCATTAAGAGGATTTTTTAGTGATCTTGAACAGACGAGCTTCGGAAAACTTGGCATCCATCCCTTGGGACGTTTGTTTTATTTTATATTTTTAATCCTCAACTCACTAAGAAGTCTCCTGGGGTGAAATTAAAAGATGGCAGATTATTTCCCTAAGCCATAATTACGGATGGAATCGGATCCGGCTGTGTCATGAAATCTGAGGGAATGGAATGGAAAAGGTTAAGGGGGGGACAAGGCAGTAATTTTAAACAATGTTACCAATTCAACGGTTTTTGGATTATAAAAGTTAGAGTTAAATTATTTACTCGAATTAAAAAAAAACACTAAAACTATACTCGGTGGTTTGCTATTACATGTAAAAAAATAGTTTGCAATAGTAAACTGTAGATAGAATGCGACAAAAACGGGTTTTCTAACAAACTCTCTCAAAATTTACGCTTTTTAATTTTTTCATGTATGAATGGACTCGTCACACCAATGAAACAGATTTTCTTCGTTAGCTATGAATCTTTTAAAAATTGAGTTTTTTAGAATCTAGGATAAATTTTGAAAAGATTGAGTCACCTTTGTACCTTAAGTCCATCTTCATTTAAACCAGTTGGTTTAATTTAATCGTAATTTAAAATTTAACCTGTTGCGTTCTAGTTTTCATATAAGAAAAATGCCGACTTCATTATAAACAAATCTTCTGTTTTGGTGATAATAGTAAAACATATTTATATTTTCCCTGACACGATGGATTTTTTTTTTTTGGGGGGGGGAGGATTAATCTAATAAACTCTTCGAGAATAAAACGTGCCATTCAAAATTTCAGAGTTAATTCGGGGTGTTGGTCTCCGAGTCAGTAAACTCATCCTGAACTGGCTCGGGGTCCGCGTTTCGGCGTTGAACCATCTTCAGTGAGGGACTTTCTGTCACTATCCGAGTAGGATTTATATGTCTTTGATTCCGCCAGTTGTCGCTAAGGGCGGTAAGGTACATGGTCAGTGGTGTTCATTGGTCGGGGTGACGTCGGTTATTTCCATTGTCGGTTATTATTTGTATCACACAATACGTTCACACAACTAAAAACACTCATAACAAAAACGCAAATGTTCAGAAAACACAAAATTGAAACCAATTCATCAATAAACTAACAACGCACAAGTAATAACCTGTACAGCATGAATCAGAGACTTATCAAATGAAG